GAAATATGCATTAATAACAGCGAGTGTTCACTCAACTTTTAAGTTCGCTAAACGCATTCAATATTTTTTAAAATAATTATATATATTCTCTAAAATAATTATATAATTATATATTCTCTAAAGATCTTAGCAAAAATAAATTTGTAAATAAAATTTTAAAATAATTTTTAAGTAAGTCTCCTTTTATTTAAATTAGATAATGCAATAAAGAATAATAAAAAGTTATTGCAATTTCATTAACGAAATACAATAAAATAATTAGACATAAAAATAAAAAAATGAATAAAAGATAAATTAAAGATACACTTATCTACAAAAACGGACTACTAAATTTATTAGTAAATTTATTAGTCGTTTGTTTTATGAATGAGTATACTTATAAAGAAAAGAGGACCGCCGATAAAATTGGCGGGAGTGGTGGAAGACTTTTATTGCTCGTTTGTGCTAAATTATACTTTAAATGGACAATATATGTTTAGAAAGGATTTATTAAAAGTCTCTATAATTGCTAGTTATTATAGAGACTTTGACGCATACTAATAATTATAATCGGCACGCTTCTGTCCTGAGGATTTAATACAGAGACAAATTACATCTACTCTCAACGATATGATTTTATCGATAGTGTTAGAAAATGTATGTAATCACGTAATTTCCAAAATGAAAATGGATGTACGGACGATTTGTAATAGGAAAAAGGCCGGCATGGTCTTTCTCAGATTTTTCTCTGGTTTAAATTCTCAGTGGAAACTAGGCCACTGCTGCGGAATTTTGTGTACAGCAGCCCTAAAGAGCTCCGCACAATAAAAGGATTAGCGAACAGAGAACTGAGAATAAGAATTTCAACCTATCAAAAATCGTATATTGTGGAATACACAGTTTCTGATAGGTTGAAATTCTTTTTCTCTGTTCTCTGTTCCTTTTATTGTGCGGAAATTTGACCGATGGTTTTTAAATATCTCGTCGGATAAGTTCAAGCCGGCAAAGCGGCTATCTTCTCGGCTACCACCAATTTATATCAACTGTCGATAATATCAACGCTCTTCATTTATCTTCGAGCTCTTTTAAGTTTTATAGTAACAATTAATTAAAAATTTACTCAGAGTTATTAACAGTCTTTAATAATAACTCATCGGTGTCGAAATTAAGTGATTGTTTCATGTCTAGACTCTAAAGCCTAATCTATAATGGTTCTTTGCTTTCTATTCTATATTTTTTATCTCGTGCGTTTTCCTTCTTTGCGTCCATTTTATCGACAATCGCATTTCAGTATTTCTTGACTTCTGAAGTTCTTCAACTTTTATCTAGGTCATAGAAAATAAAAAACTAAATAAAAGACGAAAAGGCAAGAAATAAAAAGTGATAAAAAGTAAGAAATAGGAAACAAAGAGTACATTTCTGTAGTTTAGGCTTAATTATTAGAGAGTTTCTGACGTTTTGTGTGCATTGGAGTCGGTGGTCGAAGCAACCGCATAGTTCGCTAAATACAGATGTCACTGACTGCGCGCATTTCCGCGTTTCCTGCAGCTCGAGCTGACCAAACCTGCGTCAGTCGAGAGTGAAATCGTGCAGTTCGTTAAAGTTGCCACGTGCTGTCGGAAGAAATTGTACACGTGAAAAATCGAGTTTGATTTTTTCCCGTTGATCTCGATCCTTCAAGCGAGCGTCCTTACGCCCCTTCAATTTGACGAATCAGTAAGGTGACATCGCCTCCATTCGACCACGGTAGGCACGGTATACGTTGAGTTGACCGCCCAGAGGAGCGCCATAGTGAGCCATAACGACTGTGCAGCACGGTAAGTGTTACCGTTCATTTTCACGTACATCATCGCGTACCCGGGAAATTTCGCGCCGTCTGACCTCTACGCAAGTAATAGTGACGAAGCGACGTTGTTGCGATTGTCACGCGCGGAAAAGTTGTGTCGCGAAAAGCCGATCGTTGAAAGAAATCGCGAGGGAAAATTCTGAACAATACCACAATACGCCGGGCGCCATTCCCCGCCGGCGCGGTGGTAAGGCAACCCCCTCGGTCTCTCTCTGATTAGACCGGTCTTCGATCCAAAAAAGCCTTTTTGCTCTGATTCTTTCCGTCATCGATCATCGCGCGCTAAATACTCGTTGAGCATCGTTATTGCGTAAATCCCCGATAGTCGCATAACCGGATTTTCCATAGTCTCTTTTCAAACGCGAGAATCACGAATTTTCTCGACACGTCTCTGGTCTCTCTCTCTCTCTCTCCCCCTCTCCCTCTCCTCCTCCTCCCTCCCTCCCTCCCCCTCTCGGACTGCATCCCAATCGATCTCTCAAGCGTTCCCGTAGAAGAGCGGCTGCTCAGAGTCTTTGCGCATAAAGTCTTTGCCGCGTGCATACTGCTGTGCTCGTGTTTTTTTTTAACTCGTTTAAACACGACCATCAGACTAGGGGTGCGTTCCTTTTTCATGCCAACACGTTACAAGTATCAGTTTATAGTTTATGTTTGTCTATCAAATATTAAACAAAGAAAATTGGAAGCAAACATATTCTAAATCTATCTAATGTAGTTTCTCGCATTGCAGAGTTGTGTCCCTGATTTTGAGCGAATCCACGAAAAATTAACCATCAAAATGGCAAATGAACCTGATATGCCCACCTTCAAGTGCGTACTGGTCGGCGATGGTGGTACTGGCAAGACCACCTTCGTCAAACGACATTTGACGGGTGAATTTGAGAAGAAGTATGTTGCCACTCTAGGAGTCGAAGTCCATCCGTTGATCTTTCACACCAATCGTGGACCGATCCGCTTCAATGTCTGGGATACGGCTGGTCAAGAGAAATTTGGTGGCCTTCGCGATGGCTACTACATTCAGGGTCAGTGTGCTGTTATCATGTTTGATGTTACATCCAGGGTAACGTACAAAAATGTACCGAACTGGCATAGGGATCTGGTTCGTGTTTGTGAAAACATACCAATTGTCCTTTGTGGTAATAAAGTTGACATCAAGGATAGAAAAGTCAAGGCTAAGAGCATTGTATTTCATAGGAAGAAGAACCTCCAGGTATTTTTACATGCAAATAACATTATTAACTGTATATCTATTTTTCTTGTACATCCTTAAAATTTTTTTCATCCTTTTATTAATCTTTTAATGATGATTCAATGGTCTGATGGTAAAGTGAAGACATCATACTGTCCCTCTAATCTGAAAATTTTATTAATTTAGTATTCTATAGGGTGCCTTAGGATTTAACGAACAAACTACTGGAACATAGTTTATAAGTGGAAATAAGAAAAAAAATGTAATATATAATTTGGCTAGAAATATTTTATTATAAAGTTATAAGCAAATATTAAAATGAGTTTCCATTGTACAGAATATGAAAATGTATATTTTGTCTATGGAAAACTCGAATATATTTATCTTGTATTCTTATCATATTTACTATCTTTAAAGGAGCACCTAGGTGCATAAAAACAAAAATTTATGAATTTTTTGCGAAAAAAACGAAATAAGATAGAGAAGTCATATTTGTTCCATTATAAAGATTATATTTTTTATATTTTATGCTTGAATTTTATTAAAATCGCTATTCATTTTTTTCCAAATCATATTTTGAAAAAATTTGTGATGATCACTGCTGCTCCTATAAAAAAAACTTGTCCAAAAACAATGCTACAAGTTGAAACATAGATGTACTTTTTTCTTAACATAATCGGTTTTTAAAATATTATATTTGAGTAAAATGGTAGTTGGTCAAATATACACAATATTTTATTTTAATAAATGGCTATGGAAGATAATAGGTCTATGTTTCAACTTTTGAAACTCGTGGCACTGCTTTCAGTTTTTTGTTTTTTTTTTTGGGAGCAGTGGTCACCACAAAATCCATTTTTTCAAAATATGACCTAAAGATATTAAATAACGACATTTTTTAATTATTTTTAATAAATTTTAAATGTGGAACAAACAACTTCCCTATTTTTTTCCACAAAAAATTTGTAAAAGGAGCATTTATACTGGCTATAATTGTAAGAAAGGGATACTTGATTGTGTGTGTGTGTGTGTGTGTGTGAGAGAGAGAGAGATTAATCAATTATTGCAAATTACGGCATACGGTTACAGCCAGTATAAATTCTATAGATTTCATTTTAACGCGTCTAGGTATATATATTCCCTTAAACATAGTATACACGACGTGATACACATGAAATAAACACGACCTTTCCAATACGAAATGTACACTTTTCTATTATACATAATGGAAAATCCATTGTTTTCTATTTCATATTTCGTTTCAATATTTGTTTATGACTTTGCATTAAAGCATTTCTAGCAAAATTTCATATAACATTTTTTTTTTTAATTTCCACTTGTAAAATGTTTCTGTAGGTTGTCTGTTAAATCCTGAGACACTATAATTTTACAAGGAGTATAAAATATATAATCTTTATGTTACAGTACTACGATATCAGTGCAAAAAGTAATTACAACTTTGAGAAACCTTTCCTATGGTTAGCGCGCAAGTTGATCGGAGATCCAAACCTCGAATTCGTCGCTATGCCTGCGCTGCTGCCTCCGGAAGTCACTATGGATCCACAATGGCAGCAACAAATTGAGAAAGATCTTAAAGAAGCTCAAGAAACAGCATTACCAGAGGATGATGAAGATCTTTAGTTTATTTAATACATTGGGGATGGTCTTTACAGAGAGTAAGGCCTATTATGCGGGTGCTCCGTGGTCGTATCGCGCACTCGTACATCTTCATAGAAGTCGAAGATTCTTTCTTTAAGAAAAATATAATTTACATGCAATATTTAGTTCGATGCTTTATGCTGGGCACCCAACTTCTGTGAATTTGCATGTTACATGTATAGCCTTAAAGACGGGTCGCTTAAATACGTTGTAATACGGAATGCGCAACATGTGTGTGATTGTGTATGCGATGTGCACTTGAATGTCTAGATTTTATAAAATTCTTATGTAATAATGGTGATATATTATCACGTAAATTAGAAACAGAATAAAGTAATGGTGAAACTGCGGAAATGACTTGTGATACGAATTCATAGAACCCAGCTGACTGAAGCTGATACAACGTAATATGAAACAACCAAAAAAGAATTCATTACATTTTCAGATTCGCTCGTTTGTATAGATGTGCGTGCGTGCGTGCGTGTGTATGTACATATATACATAAGAAATGGAATTGTGTAAGGTGTGCTGTATATTAAACACACAATCACGCTAACCCACTTTAAGGCATATAAAAAGTAACATCATCTGTTTTTTATTTTTGTTTAATTTTCATACTTTCCTAACACAAAGTATAAGATAAAAACTGCCAATTCTGAAACGGATAAAATTGTGAGCGAAACTGCTGTCAGGTTCAAATGTAGCAAATAGAACTGTACTGATACTAAATGCGTCTTCTTGCAAATCCAGGTACATTTTCTGTAGCTATTGGCTAATCGGTCAATCGCTAAGGAAGAGAGAGACGCTCGGTGCAAGTCACTTCAATCTCGCTATGATAGAACAAGATAACACGTTTGCTCTCGATTGAACGCAAATATAGTAGATCAGTATGCAGTGATTAATTTACGAGAAAGAATCTTGCGATATTTACAAAATTAATATTAGAAGTCACTGTTTATATACTTAAGTATGGACAGCAAAATAAAACTGGACTGAAGTATCATTAAAAAAAACTAACTTATGCCATATATACACTTTCTTGATGAAACTGCTTAAGAAACTTACTAGTGTGTAAATTGAAAGGTACGAATGTTGAGAGAGCGACCATCTTTCGTGAGTAAGCATCTCCTGTGGTGTCTTCTATTTTAATAGAAAGAATGTTTCGAGATTGAAGTGAAACAGATTCGTAACCTGTTGCGTCTGTCCCGTTTCGACAAGGACTGTTTGCTATTTTTATAAGCAAAAGATGTATGTATGATTTGTTCAACTTAAATTATACGAATTGTTTTTTTTTCTACACAAGGAAATCCGTTCTGTGTTAGGAGTGTGAAATTGTTAATCTTTCCCTTTGAAATCCATTCTCATTAATCGAGAAATCTGATAGAAAAAATACATGTAAATTACACCGCTAAATATCTAACATAGAAAGGAACTGGGAATAATACATTGCAACATGTATATTTAATTCTTGTATACTTCTATAGTGTTTCATTGTTCTGCTTGAAGCAGATTGTATCACGCTGATGTATGAACTTTAATAAATTATCAAACTGTTTTTGAAGCTACAACGCCTTCAGATTCATATTAATTCGTGTAATCCATTTTTACTAATTTAATGGTTTGTTTATTTAAAACTTGTACAATACATCTATCTATGCATACATGAAAAAAATGAATAAGGAATGAAAGCAATACTCTATAAACACACACAGAATGGCCCACGTAAAGTGTTACAAGCTATTATCTCTGAAAGTATATGTCTAATGAAAAATATGCTCAGACAAAAGTTTTATGACTTTGAGGAGGACATAAGATGGAACCATTGGTTTGACTTTAGGTGGCCTTGTCAAAGTCAAGGTAAAGTAACTTTAAAATTTTTAAATAGAACATTTTTATTATAAGACTTGAAAGTTACAATATTGCTAGCATTAACATTACCTAACGACTTGAAAAATACTTCATGAAAAAAATATTTTATTATAATGTTTTGAAAAACTCTTGAAGTGTGCTACAAGAATATGTAATAAAAAGTGGGGAATTTAATTTAAAAAATTAAAATTAATCTTGCCCTAACTTTGCCAATATCAAACCAATAGTTCCATTTTATGTCCCCCTCGAAGTTAAAAATTTTTGTCTGAACATATTTTTCATTTGATACTTTTAGAGATAATAGCTTGTAACACTTACAAAGGCCATCCTGTGTGTGTGTATACACATATACACACACATATATATATATCTCAATAACTGAATTGATACTTGTTCTTCGTTAATGAATAAAATTATACAATTTACAATATAGCGAAATGCGTTCTTTAAATACGTAAATTATGTATTCATTATTATATTCTATGATGGTCGTATCTTGTGTATCTTATCAAACTTTCACTAAGCTGATTTATATTTTGTTTATTACACAGCATAATTCTGCTTTATTTTGTAACAAATATTTATTGAGTCTAATTTCGTTTCGCTTTTTTATCCTTTTTCAGTATCGCCTTTTTGCCCTCGAGAAGATCTTGTCGCTCCGAGTCGGTAAGTGATTTCAGAGTGTTAGTGATTACACCAGTTCCTAGAGTTACCGTTCCATCTCGTAATGTAAAACGTTGTCCCTTCTCCAATACCATTGGTCTTATCAACTTTAGTACGAGTCTGCAGTAAAAACAGTGAGTATTAAAAAATGAACGTAGAAAATAATAAAATTCTTGAAAAACAAATCTTACGTGCTATCTTCTCCTGGCATAGCTAAATCCTTTCCCACTATCGAACATTGCGCTGCAACGTCCCACGTTCTACAAAACATCTGTAATTGTATCATATTCGCAATCGGTTTTTTCCTACCACCTTCTTGTTTACTCAACAGGTATACTTGTGCTTCTATGTGATCATACGCCTTCATAGAGCCAGGTTTACACATTATCATGCCTCTTTTTATTTCGTCTCTCTTTAAACCTTTCACTAGAGCGCCAAGTTGATCCCCGGCATGGGCTTCCTCTAATATTTGATGGAACATTTCTACACCTGCGACTATGCTTTTGAAAACTTTATTATAACCAATAAACTCGCAATCCGTCCCCTTCTTCAGTTTACCACGCTCTAGTCTACCAGTAACCACAGTACCTCTACCAGGAATAGAATATACATTCTCTACTGGAAGTAAGAAGGGTTTATCCAGTTCTCTCATTGGAGTTGGGATATTTTTATCTACTGTTTCTAACAACTGCAGAACAGTCTGTGAACCTATTTCAGGGTTTTTTCCTTCAAGTGCGCAAAGCGCACTACCTTTTACTATTGGAATATTATCGCCGTCGTAACCCATTTCAGAAAACAATTCTCGTACTTCCATTTCTACTAATTCTACCATTTCTGAATCAGCAGCATCGACCTTGAAAATATTGAATAAAATTTTAATACGTTTATTATTTGACCCTTGCTGCTTTCGCTTATATTATATTAATAAAAATAAACACCTTGTTAATAAACACAACAATATGCTTGATGCCAATTTGTTTAGCAAGAAGCAAATGCTCTCTAGTTTGTGGCATTGTACCATCCGTAGCAGCGACGACCAGTATAGCGCCATCCATTTGAGCAGTTCCTGTTATCATATTTTTTATGTAATCGGCATGACCTGGACAATCTGTGTGTCCATAATGACGATCTTCTGTTTGATATTCAACATGTGCAACATTAATGGTAATGCCACGAGCCTTTTCTTCAGGAGCATTATCGATCTCACTATATCCTTTAGCTTTTGCTAATTGCTTCTCAGACAAGACTATTTATAAGTTTCTGTTAGTTTATGCTTTCATTTATGCAGATAATTATCTTATAAATAAATAAATAAATACCTTTGGTAATAGCTGCTGTTAGAGTAGTTTTGCCATGATCTACATGACCTATAGTGCCTATATTGCAATGTGGTTTATCGCGGTTAAATACCTTCTTTTCTGTATATACAGCATAGAATCTCTGACTAGTAACAGTTGGAAGGATTAGCCGATTCTTCAATTGATGACATTGCTAAAAAGTATATGATATAAAATTAAATCTATTTAGCAAGAAATTATATCATTTTTATAATACCGAGACAATAACCGCTCTCTTTTCGATATATAGATATATATATTGCCAATACTAAAATCTATAGTTCACATTACAATACATTTTCATACTGGCAGCATATATCAAAAAATGACTAATATATGAACGTATTTATGTTAAAGACAGTAAATTAATGAAATATAAAAATAAAAAAAATTAAAATCAAACTATATATAGAGTGATGCATTTAAAGTTACAAATATTATCCCTGAAAGTATGCATTGAATTAAAAATATCAAATTCAAACAAAAATTGAATGATTTTAAGGGGGACTAATAATGATAAAACAAAAGAAATCAATTTTTCGAAGTTGAAAAATCACTATATTATACAAAAGTATTAAGGTAAATATTAAAAAATTAATTACAAGAACTTGTACTTTATTCTAGCACATAAAATATTAAATATCTTGTATATAATACATACTAATTTTTTGATAAATTAATGCTAACATACCTTAATACCTTTATGCACAGAACAATGAAATAAATTAATTGATGTAAATACAGCTGCTTTTCAAAAATGATATGTAGTTACACAACTTGTAACTTTAAGGGCCCATATGCCCCACTCCATATTTTAACATGTAATGTAAACATCGTGATTTTTATAAAATTAATATTGATCAAAGCAGCGCTCATTTATAAATTTTCATAAACAATTCATAATTTAAAAACTAATGTGTAAAAAGTTCTTAAGCTGATTCTACAATGAGTTGGTAGTCCTAAATCTTATGATGGTTTCACAATAGTAATAAACTATTAGTAATAAATCAGAACTCAGATGCTAGAAATTGACCAATTATAGCCGAGTATAAGAAAAATAATTGATTGATTTTGATTTCTAGCTTTTGACTTCTGATTTATTATTAATGACTTATTATAATTGTGCGATTGTTGTACCACAAATTTTTCAAGGTTGTTGATTGGCTATGGGAGATCTAGAATTTCACTATCCTGTACACATTTGTATATGACAAAACACATAAATGAAATAGTACTCTACCAATTAAGACTACCAATTTTCTTAAGACTAAAATTCAACTTTTTTCCTTTCTATTAGTTGAGCTAAACAATTTGTTTTATAATTCGTAGATGCTAAAAATCATGGTCACCTATTTAGATTAAGACTGTTTAATATTTAAGATTTCCGACTACCAACTTATTGTAGAATCAACATTATAAAAGAGAAGAAGAAATAGTATCAGCATTATGCGATTATTGAGAATCACCATTGTTGACCACAAATCTAGAATTAAGAGATTGTTCATGATAACCATCCACTTACACATTTTAGCAATTGCTTTGTGAAGATAATTTGTTTGAGAGTCTGTTTTAACACTGAAACAGAAAGATTTGCGTGATGAAAAACAAGCATTTTGTTACTATCCGCACTTAACCTTATCTCTCCTGCAATGGCAATTATGTATAACCGGTTTAAACATATTTCGATAGAAAAATGCTAAAACGATCGGCGAAAATTCGCCTTAAAATTCTGTTGCTATCGTGAACATGTCTTGTATATTAGGTATTTTGCACTTACCGGGATTAAACATCGCCCTTGAAGAAATAAGCACCATGTTTTTTTGCGTGTAGTTAGAAGTACTAGAAAGTAGAGAACGTGTTAAAGCAGGGTGATGAGTAACTAGTACCAACTGAGACGCTAAAAATTGTCCGATACGGCCCAATGCTTTCAACCATTTCCAATGTGAAGAGAGGACAGTGTTGTTGGCCAAAGACTTTGGATAATACCTAGATATTTATCGCCAATTTAATAATTAGGGAATTTAAAGATATTACGAATCAAATGTTTCTAATCATCACGTTCTTTGGCTTTTTTGTTTTTTAAATTACTTTATTTATTTGAAATATAAAAGAGTGTAATGTAGAGTTAATTAAATATTAAAATCTCATTTTATTTTTAAATGATTTAACAGCTAAACAAAATATTTATTTTTGTATATATCATACAACAAATAACGATTTATGAAAACGTTTTGACATTTTAGAAGAATAATTTATTAAAGTATTTGTTCACTAACAAAATATAATTTATTTTAATATTTATATTTTATATATATATATTATATGTTAAGAGTTAAAATATTATTAAAAAATGACAACAGAAGATAAATAACCGCATTCGGAAAAATACACGTGAGTTTACACATTTATAAACGATTTAACATCTTTTAATTTAATTTAAAGTAAATTTTTATTTTAATTGATACTACTTTATATATATATATATATATGTCAACAGTCACAAAATGTTAATGTTAATTCAGTGAATATGTATATACTTACTGTAGTTTGCTGTAGTCAATGTATACATTTACGTATAGTTACTTACAATTACGTATATATAATTACAATTTTATTAATACAATTTTATTATTAATTATTCACTTATCTCAACACATTTAATTTAAACGACTTAATAAAATTCGTCTATTTGTTATCTAAAATAAACGTTGCAACAAACAATTTACGTATTATTGACAATAATACTATATAAATTTTTTATAACGTTTACAATCATAATCAATAGTAAATTGATTAAGAAAAATTGTATATATATTATACTTAACTTAAGTATGATAATAATGTGTATTTATATATATTACAAGATAGAAAAATATGGGCATATTGGCGCCTATCGCAGACGTAATGATTATAAATACAGATTGAGGATTCATATATTCTCATACCCGTCCCTGTTTCTCTCGTTGTTCGCTTCTCAAGATGATGGCGTTTGACGGCGTTCGCGGGGCGCCGCGCCGCGGCATCCGTACTTGTGAGACGAAGTTGACGTCATCAGCGCGTGCGCGCCGCGTTGGGACGGCACTGCAGAAGCAGGCGAGTTCGCGAATGTATCGATTTTACGATCGTGCCTCTCTCACGGTGCCAGTGCGTCCGTCGTTTCCTTTAGTTTTTTAGTGGACGTACACGTTGTACATGGATAAAACCGTGAATGGGATTACCCGCTAGACACGTCGCTCCGTACACCGCCCGCTGACTCGCAACTCCTCGTCATCCTTCACCATGACCAAGGATAGATTAGCAGCCCTCGTCGCGGTGAGTGACTACTCTTGCTAGTTCGTCGCTCTTCCTCTCTCTCTCTTTCTCTTTTTTTCTTTCTTTTTCCCACTCCTTGTACACGATACTCGGAGCTGCACCATCGACATACGTATGTATCATCGTCGTCATCGTCATTGTCGTCGTCGTCGTCATCGTCGTCGTCTCCGTCGTCGTCTTCGTCGTCTTCGTCGTCTTCGTCGTCGTCGTCGTCATACACGCGTGACTCACGCCCTACGACTCGACCATAAAGATAGTGTCACTCACTCGGCAACACGGACTCGTCGCGAGTCCAAGCAGTCGCCAAGAATCGTCGAGGAGACACAACCGGTGGATGACAGGCGTTCAACCGCTCGCCCATGCTCACCTCGGCCCACCTCGACGATCCGAGCTGACAGGTGTTCGTACTCGGAATGACCATCGGTCATTACATCGCGATGCTAGTGTTCATTGTCGTCGCGGACCACCAAGCCGGTGGGTCCATGGCGACTATGGCCGACCTTGTCATTTATTGCAGACACACCGATGAATGGAGAATATATTCTCATTGCCATATCGTGAGATCGGTGTCTGCCTCGACGAAGGTCGCTCCCGATGTTGTTTGGCAGGATGACGTCTACGTTCATTCACACCACGATCGGTATGGGATGCACCAACCTTCCGGAAGTTAACTGGATCACTTTTTATTAATGTCATCATTTCATTAAAATAGAGCGAGTGATCAGCTTTATGAACACACCTTGTTTCACAGAGTTTCACTTTTTAAGAAGCTCGTATATGTTTGTAGTGTCGGAAGTTGTATTCATTGAGTTGACGGTCGGTTTAAATCTCCGCTAATCGCATGCTTATATCGAGGAGGTTTCCCAATGGTCTTTCAACGAAAACTGCATTATTCCAATACAACATGCTCCGAAATGAGGAAACTTTCTTGTATCGGGATACTTTTGACAATTATTTATCATACCATGTCGTAGAACAGAAATGAAAAATTACTTGTGGACGAAAAATTCGTGTTTGTTATTTGTCAGCTTCAATAGATTAACGCAACGAATATTCCGAGCTGAAACGAATGTCGCGCTGTATGAAAAGATTAATCGTGACTACGCACGATGCCATAGTACAATGCAGCGAAATTCGTCACATAAATGCGGCGCGATTGCACTTGTCGAATATTCGAGTGCATTGTGTGGAGCCGGCTTCGAAATTCGCCAAGATTCACGCTTTAATTGATAACGCTATCATTGTTACGTCAACTTGTCAATGATATTGTTGATGACGTGACGAATACGCTGTTCACTTCTTCGGATTTTTCGAAAGCATATCGATTGAATCAAAATACGAATCCGCCGATATCGGATAAAGATATTCATGCAACATTATTAATATCACTGATGAATGAATGGTAATGAATAGTGACAAAAAATAAAATGTATGATATTCTTTGTTGGAAATCTTGAAGAGATTATTTTTGTCGAATCGTTAGAATTCTATGTTACATACATATATTATACATATAAATAATTATATTATGTTATAAAATATATTTAAAATATTGTCCATGGTTTTTTTCATTATCACTATACAATTTTTCTTGTAAGACTTTTACAAGTTATATCTAGATAAATATATCTACATATGATACTGTATAAATATGTATGTATAAATATTATATCTCTGAAGAAACAGTAGAATTTTTTAATTATTTGTTAACAGTTTTATGTGGTATAGTTTATTACGTGGTATTGTAATAATGATAAGTAACGAGAGAGTGGAAATTATTTGACCGATTTCTTTTTCGTTATGTATTCTCAGTTACAATACGTTTAATAATTTTCCAAATTGAGGATGTATGATACGCATCGAATATCATGCTAGCTGATGACTCATTAATCGGTATTCGGTGAAAAACACATAGGTGTGGGCGTAAAGTCAGACCGACACGATGTGACGTTATCCAGTGAATTCTCTTGATTCTGTTATTGGCTATTGTTATCGTATTGTCACCGTATTAATAATATTAATTGTTTGAATTTTTCTCTTAAAAGTACTATCCAAAATTGATATAGATCAAATCTATATTTCGGTATTTAGAAGTAGCTTCTTTTACAATTGAATATAATAGGAACACAATGCGTTGCAGTTTGAAATTTTTTACAAGTAACAATTGTGATGCTTTTTTTACATCATTTGGTTCTTTATAGAAGATGCTTGACATACAAATATATGTTTATAGGATATAATTTAATTAGTATTTAATTTAAAAGTAATTATGTGTAATGCAAAGTAATTATAATGTAATACATCATGGAAGTGCGATGAAGTGAATTAAGTACAAAAATAACGAATACCAACATTTTTAAACTTTCATGTTATATTATTTTTTATTATCATATTATCTTATTTTTCAAATTCAGATTGATCTGAATGGAATGTCCATTCTCTCATCTGTAGATTATTCTCCTCCTTACATTATCTGCTTTTATCTGCTTTTATCTTCACTGAGAAAAAATATTTGGTATTTGTGACTATAATTGCATCATTAAAAAATCGTGATTAGAAGATCCATTATTTTTTTTTATTACTGCTATAATGTTAATAATAATAACTTTACATGTATAGTTCTCTCAAATATGGAAAAATTGTACTATAAATTATGATAATTTCAACTATTAATATAGTAAAATATTAAGATATGATTTTTTTATTATTTTTATATCGTAAATGCAATAATTATAGAATATAATTTTCTTGACATTCGCTAATTATTTATATGGTAATAATAACTAGACGATAATGGTAAAGAAAAGCTAAAGAAATAAGTATTTTTAAATGGTGTATAAATGTATATTAAGTGTACATTTGATTATATTTTTAATTAAAAATTTACTATTTATATTGTAAAAATTCACTAAAGTCGCCCATCCACGAGCAGTACACGGCTTTCTCACCAGAGGGACGCAACACAACGAAGTTCAATTTCTCCTAAGAAGAAAACCACTTGGCATATAATAAAAGGCGCAGTATTGAATTCAAATTTCGGAGACAAAAATAAATGAGAGATATATATCTCAGTACAGTTTTCGGTTCTATACAAAAATTCAGTAACTTTATTCCTGATTATCTATACATACAGTTATTTATACGTATAGAAATCTGACATGAATTTAGAAAATATAATAATATTAATCATTTGTAACAAATGCTTAATATTATACTATATTTTTTGTTAATTCATACTAAAGATAACAACTTTATGATAAAATCAATCAAATGAATCAAGAGCATAAAAACTGAATATATATTCTGTGCGTAAACAAATTTATACCTCTTATTCTACATTAATAATAAACGTTTCGATCTTGTAATTAGGTCATCTTCAGTATTACAAAATTAAATAGGGATACGTATATATGATGTTATATGCCAAACTTTTTCTAACTATATTAATTTTACATTGATACCGCTCGCATATTATATGCTCTCATAGTTGATCCTCTGAGAAACAATTTGACCACTGAGTGGTATGCAAATAGCATCAATGTAAGATTAATGTAATTAGAAAAACTTTGGCAATATAACATTATATATGCGTAACTCTATTTTATTTTATAATACTGAAGATGACCTAATTATACCGTTTATTAATATAGAATAAGAGATATAGATTTCTTTACGCACAAAATATCCAGCGTTAACTTTCATGTTTCTGATTCATTTGTTTGATTTTTATTTCATATGATTTATTTATTATTTTTATATAATAATACATAGTTGAGGCGCTATTTGTCTTCAAATTTCTAGTTGCTGATATGACTTTTCTCTGAGTGTAGATGTGATTATACTTACTTAAAGGATAGAATATCATCATTAATATGACTACAGTTTATTATAAACCGTAAATCACTATATGTAGGTATATGGTCCTTGTACTTTGAATAATATTTGTTATCACAACATTTTATATAATATATAGTATAATTTGCTATATGCAAATCCTGTTTATGTGTAAGATAACCATGCAATATAGTTACACGAATGCATATTATAGTTGTGATGATCATAATTTAATGTTGAAGCATCTATAATGTGTATGGTTAAAACAATTACAAATTTATAGTTGCCTCTAAAAATGACTATAAAATATAATTAAATTGTGGTACTTGCAACTATTTTTTTTTCTCAGTGTTGTATTTATCTTTTTCTCATTTTTTAGCAATATAAATAATCTCTAAATATTTCAACGTAAAAATTTCATACGAATTGTATTTTAATGCAAAAAATTGATATCTGCATTGCACGACTGTTATTATATATCATCGGCGACGTTTCGTCGCTATTCTGCGTAAGAAATGTAAAAAATTCAAGCCTTTTCTATAAATAAAAGATTCCTTTATGAGGAGATGTGGTGAATATACATATCGCGAGAAATTTTTCCACGCATAGTATGAGATAATTCTTTCTCGAAAATGATGACGAATTTTAATTACAATTGTCACGTCATTAATTTGTTCTAGAATGTATTTAATAATCTTTTATGTTCGTTGTCAAGGTTTCTATTAACCAATATATGTGTATTATGTAGGTTGCACCTATCAAATTTTTAAATAACAATTCATTCTTATTTGACTCGACAGCACGCATTTACTCTTTCGATAATTTCACTCGTGAAGGTTACCTCTACTATAAGCTTACAGTTTACATAGCGACTCGAGTGTTAATCGCCTCAAATCACTTCACATCTTTGCTATGTGTTCTTTGCTACGTTCGAAAGAATGTAGTGCGTTATTTGTGTTGTTTAAAAATCGATGCTATTGGAGAAAAATATGGGCTTTATCGATTGGTCCACGATATCACGAAACGTTGTATATGATCTGTATGTAGGATGTTATCATATAGATAACTCTCCCTTTTTATCTTGTAAATTAACAGAGATAGATCTAATAAATATAATATCAAATATTAATGGCTTTAACTAAACTTTATTGTAAGCGCGGTACTGA